CCTCACGGGGGCGTCACTAAAAAATGGTACGCTCACAAAAAAAAACTAAGGGAACACAGGTGATTCGGCGCATCCGTCCGCACCTTTGGCCCCAGGCGCCATTGCGGCCCAAGCAAAGCCCGGGCTTGAGGCAGACGAGCCCGCATGCATTCGTCGCGGCCGCCACTTGCGATGTGGCCGCTTGAGGCCAGTGTCTTTCAGGGCTTGGGGTGTCTCCTTGCGTCTGACCAAGGCCCAATGAAATCTTGATTCCAGTTGAATCCATTTTTCATATTCCTTCGGCTTTTGTGCTGCCCCATCCACATCGCAAAATGACACGTTAACGAGTTGACGTATCTGGTCCGGATATGTGAACTGTAAAATCTGAAATAGCAGACGGGATCCCGCGGTTTGTTGTTTGAGCCAAACCTTCCGCCTGGCTGTCTGATAATTGAAATGTGCGTATCTTTTTGGAAATCAACGCGCTTGCCGGTCATGTTGCCTGGGGACCCCTTCGTTTGTTCAACCCAACCAGGTTTTTGGGTCCAACCGTGTTGCCTTTTGAGCCGCTAGCTCCAGCCGCTCAGCGCTGGATTGATCCGAAAAGCGCGCGCAGGTGCGGTGCACATGTGCTTGGTCAAAAGATACAGTCCCCCGCAAATAAAAGGAACGAACTCTCAAAGGGCGGACACCCAAAAATAATTTCCTCTAAAAAGGATGGGTTTCTGGGTTCCATGCTATTGTTTCCAAACCAAAACCCCGGGGAATCCAATCTTGCCCGGAGAATCACACATTTTGATCGTGGCTACGGGTGTGATCCGAACAGGGTGCACCAACAAAGGGAAGTTGTCTCCTAGCGGTCGTCCGTCAAACACGATGGGAGGCCCCCAATAGTATCCTCCCCCAGGCTAACATGGAAGCTCCCAGGACCATTTACAGAGGCCTTCTGGGAGTTTCCATGTTAGTCTGAGGGAGTGTAAACTCAACTCTACAAAAAAACAAACAAAACAACTACTCATTCTCCCAGACCTCGGTGGCCACGGGAAAAAATGCCTCGGCGCCCTGACTGTTGGATTGACTTGGAAGGGGCCAAAAACCCACAGGTCTGGGTTCAAAGAGCGCCTCCCTTGTACAGCCGATCCCAGATGCGCCAGAGTCCCATGCCCAAATGCGCCAGAGTCCCATGACAAAAAGGGCCCCCCTTTTCTGGTTGTTGGGTTTGAAGGGAGCCTCCCCCCCCCATCCACCCACAAAAAGTCGGCGGTCGAGGTTTGGGATATGCCAAAAGATACCTTGGACACCCCAGCAACCAATCTCCAAAGAAATCGTAAGGCTCAACTGCGGCTCCTCGAACAGGCCTTGGGAAATTGAGTGAGAATTTTGCGAGTCTCTCCACGTCCCTCTTTCAAAAGGACCATAGACTTCTGATTTTTTCTCCGAACTTCATTCACGAGGCAAGAGAGCCTCAATAGTGAGGTGCCCGAGCTTGATGGGCTGGTGTGCGTTTCCAACACGGCACGGCATAAGCTTCGCGGTAGGGAAGTATAACTTGCTCAATATCACATTTATCAGATCTGACATCACCATTGGGTGACCGCTTGGAGAGGGATCATCTCTCTTGCCCAGACTCAGGGTCTCTCTTGTTGAGCAAGTGGCCACGGATTCTTCAGAAACTGCCAACATCACGATGGCTGACCCAACACAGCTTGCCGGCGAAGAAACTTCTCCAACGAAGCTAGACCTTGACGCTATCCCTGTGAACACACCCAGCATTGAAGATGTGTCGTTCAGGCCGGCTTGTGATGTTTCAAGTCTCACTTCTCGAGTGGATGGCCCAAAACAAGTCCAAACTTTTTATTTACCGTTACAACGGTCGAGTAAGTACTGTGCCCTGCCCTGCTTAGTCTGTCTGGAACCCGACATCGACATGCTCCAAAGCAAAGAACACACGCACACAAAAACACAGAGTCGTCGACTCAATGTGCATGTGTGAGTGTTATATTTCAATTTTCAAGTCTGACCATGTGACATTTGCGGCTTTGGAGACACCTTTTTCACCCGTACAAGTAAGCGGGGCAAACATGTAGAACGGCACTTGTCGCTGGTACACACAAATCCACACAAAAGGAAACCTACCCAAAAGGAACATGTGGAAGTCCTGGCCTTTGCACGCCCACTTGAAGATTGGACAATCCAAGGCCATTTCTATGTTTCGGCCGCCCAACCTGACAGGGTCTTAAAAGGGGCCACGTTTGACAGCTCCCATGTTTGCAACCTGTTCCATCCCTGTGGCTCCCGATTAATGATACTCACGGGTCCCGCTCTCTCCCGCCTCATCGCGAACCTTGGACAAGAGCTTTCATGCCAAGGCGGTGGGTCAAAAATAGGCACCCTCCAACATGGCCCTGGAGCCAATTGATCCAGGTGCCCTCCAGAAGGTGCGACGTTAGTGAGAGAGAGTACCCCAAATGGAAGCCCAAGTGGAAACATGGACCAAGACCTGCGGTCCATTGCAGTTTGGCTTGTATTCCGGGGATGAGCCAGCACCGCTAAACCAATTAAGCGATGCTGGATCCCACAGCCGTCCAAGCTTGCATTGGGCATTTATATGTGACTCCCCTGTTGGGCTTCAAGCCAAATACTCATGTGTCCAATGTCTCTGGTTCAATCAGTAGGACAAATTGTTAATCAACAGGGCAGATACACACGTTGTGGGCGGTCGCGGTTTTTGCTGAGCTCCTTCATTCAGACGCTCGAACCCCCAATCCAAACCACCAAATCGAATGGGTGGCTCGTCTTTTTGTGAGGCTCGGTACCCTTTGTGGGTCGGCTTTAGAGGGCAACAAAGAGGAAACCAGCCTTTTTGTGGGTCCCCTTCTCTGACTTCCTGAATGGATAGCAAAAACAAAGTCCAATCTTTTCGTTTGCCACTGAGATGGGTCTTCCCTCCCCCCCCAAAAAAGGGTCCAGGAATTCAGGGAGTGAGATTTGGAGACAGAGCCAGATAAGGGTCACCCGAATGTGAAGTCGGACAAACAGCAGCGTCAGATAATTACCCCACATATGAGATGGGATAAACCCCGCACGAGGTTGACCCTCCAATAAGCTGGTATGTCTTTTCATTGAATACCCTTTGGTGGACATCTACAATATCAGCCGGAAGATGAAAGTGAGCTTGGCTGGGATCCGAGACCAGCAATTTAGACACATGCTCATTCGGCCAGACTTCCCCCTGCACATCATCGAAATCAAAAGGTCAAAGGTTAAACAAGCTAAGTTAGGTTTGGCTATGATTAAACCACCAAGCAGTGTGGTTTTGCCGGAAAAAAGAAACAACAAAAAGAAGAGCTTCCCTTGGCACATGCACCAGTGTTATAGCATGGCATGTAAACCTGACCTCTCCTCCCTTACAACCTTAAGGGTTGTGCGAGGTTAGGTGATAACCCCCCTTGGAGGTCTCATGGAACGTCTTCAGGCCAGGAACACAAAACTCCAGCTTTCTGGAGACTTGGCTTTTCAAGTTCTACGAGAAAGCTCTGTGAGGTTGTCGAACATTTATGCGGCTGGCTCATTGCTTTGGGGTTCTGCACCAGTAACTGATACGCATGGAATTCCGAAATCTTGGAGCCAAAGCTGCTGCAGCTGCTGGGTTTCTGTGTCTACTTTGAGGTCTCCAAAGTGGACCCCCTGTCTGTAAAACCTGAAACCTGGACAAAGGCAAAGGTCCAAAAAAAAAAGCCGACCCTGTTTTTCAGGCATGCAGGACGCGGAAAGGGCGCATCTTGCGCCTTCCATTGTGAAACCAGGTGAGCCACGAGCGTCCATCTTGCGTTGCCACGTGTCGGAATCCCCAAGATGATCTGCACAAAAGCAAGCCTGACAACTCAAAAAGGTGAAGAAGTCCGTGACTGTCAAACTTCCACATCACAGGGCTCAATGTAAACTTCTTTGCCTAAGCGTGCCAGCAAAATCATCGCGTGAGTAAAACCTCACCAAAAAGAACACGCCTCAGGGTTGTGTGTGTAGATACCACGCCGAGGCATCTCAACAGAAGAACGACACTGTGGCCCTTCCTAAGGCCCAAAGAACTGGTGCGGGTCGACGCGGCGTAGCATTCCTTGGACAACTTGCGGAGAGGGGGTTGCTCAAGGGATGACAGGTGCTTGACGGCTAGAACTGAACAGAACCATCACGAACCGCTAAACGCTGAGCCAAGGACAACATGTGGTACGTCCTCACACAGCAGGTGGCCCGCAATAGCTGGGAGTTACACTCTCAATGTTTTCCAACTGACCGCTGAGCAGCACACCCCTCATCTCTCCTGACAAACATGAATCCTCTCCTGACAAACGTTCATTGACCTCCTCCCTTTTGGAGGCAAGCATCCATTCGAACCTTCTGGCTCCTTGACCTCCAAACTACCACCAAACATGGGACAGTACAAGGACTTGCCGCAATCTCCGATTTGCAGGCGTTGTTTCAAGGTTTCTTCGTCCTTTCTTCCGCTTTGTTCACCAATTCCTCCCCAATTCCTCCCCAGTTTCCTTTACAAATTCCTTCTCCGGCTTTCTTTCTTCCACGCAAGAACCGTTGGCTTCAGTTAGTGAGCGAGAGGGGGTGCCCTCAATCTGGAGGACGATGTTTATCACAATTCCTCTAAAGTAAACCGTGTCCCCACCACTAATAGAGGAAACACTCCTGATCAAAGCAGTCGTCCGGATTCATCCCACAGCCGAAAATCCCTTGATGAATATGGGGGTGTGCTATTTTAGAGGGATTCCTCCACTGGAACAAAATCACCAGGTGCATTCTTCCGGGCTCGACATTAATCGAAAGTTCACATGCTTTAGCAGACTAGGTCCTCCAGTAGACAGGTTAGAATAAGGGTACCCTTTCTTCTGTAGTCTATTTTAGTAGGGGAACCATCCCTACTAAAAAGCGTACAAGGGCACTACTGAGAAAACCTAGGAGAGTACCCACACAGGCGAATCTCCCGCTCCCACATTGTCTCAGGCGGCAGCCTAGAGGGGCGGCGACTTCCGGCCGGCGTACTGCTCCTGTACGCGGAGCAAGAGGAGGGCAGTGGGGTGCCCAGTTCCAGTGATCTTCTCGGATGTCTTCACATGCGTTGTCGTAAATCGCGGGGCCGGAGACTCAAACGATTAATTCCGTAATGGTGACCTCATATTAATCAACCCTAGTTTGTTCATACGGGGTGTCTCTGGGTTTAGTGGGGAAGCATCACTTCTGGAGGGGAGCACCCCCCTATGCGGGGTTGATGCATAATATGACATGAACTTATCGGAGTGATCGGTACGGTCCTTTCAGCATCCAGCCCCGCTCTATATATGCACATGTCTGGCAGGCGCCTCCGCCATCTTCTGGCAAGCGTGCAACGCCTCCGTGAGCGGCTGGTCGTCCATATCCTAGCGAAGAATGAAGCCACAGGGTCGCTACCAGATCAGACGATTACAGGATCTTTTCCGCAACCTTGCCCCTAGCAAAAAGAAACCAAATTTTGACAGAAGCAAAAGGGAGATATTCCACCAACCGGAATGCCTGAAACCCCACCCCACCTCCCCCCCCACCCCACTCCCCCGCCGTGTTTCTCAGGATTTCCCCAAAACATCCCAAAACAAAACCAAGGGCTCCGTGGCTCCGGCGGCCACTTCTCTCTCGATATCTCCTGGCACAGCTTCAACGCTTTGCCGAAGATCGCCTGGCGCGTTTTCTGGGGACCCGCGACCTGGGGGAGGGGGAGGGGCGGTCGCTCGGCTTTCTCTTTTCAAGGCACCGGCTTTGGCTTGGGAAGGAGAGCCGTTGAAAGGGAAACCAGGAGAAAACCCGGCATTTTAGGAGAGTGCACACCCCAGAAGTGGTGGTTTTTCCTTGTGGGTGTCCTTGAACGAAAAGTAAATACACGCCCAGAAACGGGGATGAATTTTGGGGGACCCATCAACAGGGTGCCCTTTGTGGTTTGAGTCTTTCTGGGATGGTTTAAAGGGAATTCATAAAAAAAGACTCCCCATTTTGGAGGTCCCCGAAATTCTGAGACACGCCTCTATCCATGTTGGGTATGATGCTTGGGGGCCCGACATGGTGGACATATGTGGAGCTTGGCTCGGTCCACGCATCACTTTTCAGAGGATCCTCTGTGGCATTTGCTGGGGGTCACATCCATGGCAACAGGGCTCTGCGGTTCCCCTCCGGCGCAGAGCTTTGCGTATGCTTTGCGTAGGCTGTGGTGATACCCGAGTGGAAGGTTCCCATTCAAGCGTATCCCTTGGACAGCCTCTCCTATTTCAAAGGTCCTTTTCCGGGGGATTTGAGTTTGCCAACATCGCCCCTGAAACAAATTCAATCAGACTTAGCAACCATAACAATAGGGTGTTTTTCCACCACAAAGAAACTTCTGGGTGTGTCTCCGATGTGGGAAGCATCGAACTTGTCTTCCTGTCGTTGTCTTTGCAACACCATCCTCAAAGTGTGCCAACTATCTACGTCGAGACAGGCGAATGGTCATGATTCGGCTCACGTCCGATCCGTTCCATGTCCCGTGCGAGATTTGGAATGGCTTCGGGCGCCTCCCTGGCTTCCTTCAAGCCAACCGATTTTCCCCAACACGTAAGCACCTCCAAAAGCTGCCTGCGTAGCTTTGGGCCTCTTGACTCCAAAGCTCTCAGCCTACCATATTCAGCAGCCCCCTTGAAAATCAATTCTACCCTACTACGGGGGCCTAAAAACCCTGACGTCCTGAGTGGACGCTCAAAAAACAAATCGCCCAAACTCCTCGTTCGCCACGAAAATGGTCCAAGGCCCCAAAAAGCGAAAGTCCAAGAACTCGGGGACTGAGAGGGAGGCTCTCTGCAGCGCGAGATTTCTCACAGCTCCTCTAAAATACAACATACTTTTGCTCCTCAAAGCGGTCCTCCGGAATAATCGGAACCCAACAGCCGCAAATCCCTTGATGAAGATGGGGGTGTGCTATTTTAGAGGGATTCCTCCACTTGAACAAAATCGCCAGGTTGATTCTTCCGGTCTCGACATTCATCGAAAGTTTTCACATGCTACAGGAGAGTAATTACCCTCATAGGTAAATCTCCCGCTCCCACTTTTTGCCCCGTCCCGTCCCTTGATGAATATAGGGGTCTGGCATTTTATAGAGGGATTCCTCCACGTTTTACCCGGGACGCGAGTCTCACTTGGTCAGTGACCCCAGAAAAAAAAAAGGGAACCCTTTTTGGGGAAGATCATTCTTAGTGGGGCAGCCACCAAAAAAACAGGGAAAAAGAACAAAGGCGCCACTGAACACCAAAGGGCACCAGCCTATTTTTTTTCTGTAGTCGATTTCAGTAGGGGGACCCAACACACCAACCCAAAAAAGAAAAAACGGGGGTGAGAGAAGGGCCACGATTTCCGGGTCCCGGATGCTCCCGGACGCGACACGCGGCGCGTGCCGATGCCGATGCCTTGCGCAGGTCCGGCTGCTCCACCAGCATCTTCAAGGCCACCTGGGCCTGCAGCACGGAGGCCTCCGCCTGCGACAGCGAAGCCCGAATTCGGAAGCACCCGGCGGCGGCTCCCCGTGGCAACCCCCAAGCGGGGGGTGGGAAGGCGGGGGGGGTGGGGAAGGGGGGGGTGGGAGGGGGGGGCAAGGGGTGGGGTGGGGAGGGGAGGGGGGGAAGGGGGTTGGTTCACAGTTTTTGTCATGTACCTGAAAAACCACCCGGCCACCAGCACCACCCCACAGCCTCATTCAAAATCAACACCAACACCAACACCAACACCAACACCAACACCAACACCAACACCAACACAACAACACCAACACCAACACCAACACCAACACCAACACCAACACCAACAACAACAACAACAACAACAACAACAACAACAACAACAACAACAACAACAACAACAACAACAACAACAACAACAACAACAACAACAACAACAACAACAACAACAACAACAACAACAACAACAACAACAACAACAACAACAACAACAACCACAAACAACCACGACCACGACCACACGACCACGACCACGACCACGACCACGACCACGACAACAACCACAACAACAACAACAACAACAACAACAACAACAACAACAGCAGCAGCAGCAGCAGCAGCAACAGCAACAGCAACAGCAACAGCAACAGCAACAGCAACAGCAACAGCAACAGCAACAGCAACAGCAACAGCAACAGCACAACAACAACAACAACAACAACAACAACAACAACAACAACAACAACAACAACAACAACAACAACAACCGACGACCACGACCACGACCACGACCACGACCACGACCACGACCACGACACAACAACAACAACAACAACAACCAACAACAACAACAACAACAACAACAACAACAACAACAACAACAACAACAACAACAACAACAACAACAACAACAACACCACCACCACCAGCAGCAGCAGCAGCAGCAGCAGCAGCAACCGCAACGGCAACGGCAGCAACGGCAACGGCAACGGCAACGGCAACGGCAACAGCAACAGCTTCAAAACACACAGCAAACCAACAACAGTCAGCCCACCATCTGGTAGATTCCCATTTAGCTTCTAGAAGAACTAGGGAGTCAAATCCCCAAACCACCAACTAAGGGTTGCCTGAAGCATCGGCTTCCCAGCTTCAAATACCAGGGGTTTAACTCAAACGAATCCAAACCACCAATTGCATTGTCAGCTTCCCTCGAATTGGTGGTTTGGTGGTTCGGGGTGGCTTCTACCCTTTACACAACCAGGGCGTCAAATCCAAAGCCCACCAATCCAAGCCACCAATTCGGAGATACCTGAGATTGTGGCTAACACAAAACCCCAAAACCCAAACAGAAACACAAACTCAAGCCCGAAAACCCACCAACACCCAAGAACCACGCGGCGGATGCCCACGCGCATTCCATTCTGAGCGGCTTCTCGAGTACTTGGGCGGCCGCCTGGTGCAGGGGATCCGCAAGAAGCTATGGCTGTGGTGGTCAAAACCGTTTTGCGATCCCATTTTGGGCTAGGTGAATTCACCACCCATTCTCGTCCGTTTTAGTGGGGATTGGGATGTTCACTGGGGGTACGGGATTTGGACCCATGGCCATAGTTGAGCGATGCCGAAAATAGGGTAAAACTGCTTTCGCGACAAATTGCACGATGCTTTCGCGACCACACGTTTCACTGTCGCGGGCATGTGTTAGTGTAATGATCACTTTCGCGACACTTTCGCGGCGGGCTTCTCTTCAACCACTTTCTCCTCAAGCTTTTGCGGGCTTTCGCGCTCGTTCTAGCTTTCGCGAGGCTTCGTCAGGAGAGGCCCTCAATCAACTCCTTTCAGAAGGCCTTTTGGCGTTGCCCAATTTGGAGGTTGGTTAGGCCCCCAAGACTGCTCCAAACGGCCACAGGTGGGTAAAAACCCGGGCGCAACAAAAAGGGGAAACCACACCGCATATGTTACGCACGTTCAGACGCGTCAGTCAATCATTGAACTCACTCAAGCCTGTTGAGCAAGAGCGCGGTTTGGAACTAAATCAATGCATCAAGGCATTGAATCCGCCGGCTACGCACCTGCAGAAGAAAACATCATGGGCTTTCGGTCGCAAACCGCCAGGTGGGACAATCATTTGCCCAAGTCAAGCTTTGGCCTCTCCTTTGAAAGGGCCTGCCACGAGTAATGATGGGTTGGAGGACGACAGTTTTTTGGCACCATTCGTCGAGAAGCCCTTCGATATGTTTTGCCCAGTGCATGCCAGTCTAGTAGGATGTTCCTTTTTGTGTTTAAAGGGTGGCTCCATTGTCGACCTACCGGGTGCTTCCAGCAACCATAGGTGACCACGCTGTTTTACCTCTACGTTTTGCATGACCATCGCTTGGGGTTACTTAGTTGGGATAGCCTCTGTTCAACAATGGAAGCTAACAGGAAGGTTTGACAAACGACAGTCTTCTTGACAAAAGGCCTGTCCGCTTCCCTGCTGGTTGGAAAGCAGGTAGCGTCGTCCTTTCAAGGAAGTTCCCTATGCTGACCAGAAGCGCGCATATCTGCAGGTCAGGAAGCGTTTCACTTGACAAAAAACTTGGAGGCTTCAGCCTCCAAACAATGGGCTCTGTGTCAAGTGGAGCATTGCCATTACATTCCTTGTGGCGGGTGAGCTGAACCCCGGATTGATTCACAGGTTGGATGACCCGTTCAATGGGTTCGAACGAATGAGTTCCTTTCCTCACTTCTTGAGTGGGCTGGCCAAAAAAGTCCAAACCTTGCCCCCAAATGGTCTTCCCAACAAAGCTTAAAGTCCATGAGCTCAAGGAGTGAGTTTCGGATGCTAGACACATTGTTGTCCTTTGGTGCAAGCTGAAAATTATTTTCTCAGAGCCCGTTTCGGATCCAAGGGAAGACCTCTGTTTTTTGGGAGGTTGCTTGCCCAATCCCCTCAAAAAAATGGGACACCTTGTCAATCAATCAGGATTGAATCCATCACCCCTTGGGCCATCTTCTTTTTCCCCCCTCGCAGCGCGCGATGCCCCGAGCGATGCTAGCTCATCGCGTGAGAAGTAAACCTGGCGGGTCGCCCGTTGCCCGGGGCGACGGGATTTGTGCCCCGCTCCTCAAGGCTTCTGGTGGTCCTTTGGTTTCCCTTTATAACCACCAAAGATGGGGTACCCTCCACACCAAAAAATGTCAAGACCACTTGTCTGCACACTCTCCTTTCGATTTCTTTCAGGACACCTGTTCAGTGGGCCAACTGGTCCAAGAATTGGCTCACTCCAAACGTTTGGCCGCGGACATGACGTAGATGGAGAAGGCCAGCAAGGAGGAGCTGGCCTTGGTGCCTTCGAGCGCCAAGTTCACGCAGTACTCGCAGTAGTTGGGGTCTTGGGACATCACCTCCGCAAAGGTTTTGCCCTTGTGCTTTCCGAAGCCCAACACCCATTGGCCATCCACCAGCTTCCCCTGCTGGCCCTGGTCAGACCGGTCATACTGGCCATACTGGCCCTTGGCACTCGGGCCCTGGCCCTTGACACTCGAAGGAGAAAACCGAGTTGGGGAGGATGGAGATGGAGCAACGCCCTTTCCCTGCAAATACTCCCCCAGCGCCCTGGAGGCCGGGCTCTGGTTCTCAGCCTTCTCCAACTTCTCGGTGTAGCTCTTGACAAACCAGCTGCACCACCCTGGCTGCGTCTCGAAGAGTTGCTGGTAGCTCAGTGCAGCATGCTTGCCAAACCCCACGAGCTGATCTCCGCTCGCCTCCGGCGCCGCAAAGGCCCGCAGCCCGGAGCCGGCCGAACGCATGGCGGGACGCAGGAGTCGCAACATGGCAGGACCGGGACCGTCTGGATTCAAACCAAGATGCTCCCAAGTTTGCTCGAGCTTCTCGAGTGTATTCAGTTTCCTACTTGGTGGTTTGGAGCCCGCTGCTGGTTGAAGAACCAGGGTTCAATGCCCCAAAGCACCAGTCCAAACCGCCAATCAAGGGCAACCTGCTGTATGGGGAACATATAGTAACCCCAAAAAATCACCAGCTGGTTTAGTTTGAGGCCGTCAGGGTCCCGTGCCCCATCTCCCAGTTCAAAAAGAGAAAGTCACTGAACGAATTTATTGAGCAAACTCCAAACAAAAAGGATCGAGCGAGTCATGGGCGTCGCTTGGTCGCTATCAAGGTTATCCCCACCCTGCGAATCATTCACATAGCTGTCCTTTTTGGAAAATAGATGGGTTTCTCTGGTAGATGATTGAACCAGGTAAACCAGGAATCGCCTTCTATTTTTCTAGCAAAACCAAAAAGGACACCCTGCGAATCAAACAAACGGCGCTTTAGGGTAGTTGACGCGCAGTGGCCCATCATTCACGGCGGGTTTCTGGGCCTCTTGGGTTCCAAGGGAAGCCGCCGATCGCCCCCCTCCTTTTCATGGACAAAACCTGGGTGATTTCAACGGGAACCCCCTCCTCCCTCCTTTTCAAACAGGCAAAACCTGGTGGCTGTTTCTATTTTTGCTGGAAACCCCCCCCCCCCCCCGCCTTTTCAAAGTTGAAAGGGCACCACTCAGTTGGCACGGCACGGCGCCCCTCTTTCCGCCTGGTGGGCTGCCAGCGTGGCCCGCACCTCCTCGCAGCCGCAGGCCACCGAGTGCAGAAGCCCTGCGTTTTCACCGCTCGGTGCAAAATCCAAACACCCGCCGAGTGGGAGACATATCTTTGGGTGCCTGTACTTCTCCACAAATGCGCTGGGGTAGCCTTTGTTTCGGATGGTGGCCTGTGTTGAGGGCTTGTTTTCTCTCTCTTTGTTCGGATGGCAGATCATGGAACCCTAGCCTTTTAAAGGCGAGTAGTCAAGGTAGCTAGACCGTTTTTTGCCGAAAGACCATATTTTTTGCGCCTAGCCCTCAATACTTCAAACCTCACACTTCTGCTACCGAAGTGATCCTAAACTATGTGTTCCCTGGTCTCCCAAAAGCGGTCCAAAGTGGTCGAGGTCGCTCAACCATAAGATGGTTAGAGGCATGTTTTGCACTTCTCTGAAAATTCAACCTTTGCAAGCTTGCATGCCTTTATTCTTTGTGGCGATATGTGGTAGTATGTTTCATCCAACTGGCCCAACTCGCCAACTCTCAAGATTGCACTTCCGCTGGCTGAAGTAGATAGCATTGCTGTGCACACAAGAGCAACAGTTTTCTTTAGAGCGGCCTTGCATGCCCCGTGTTTTGTCAATATGCTTTTTCATAGAGTTATTCAGCCGAGGTGGTAACATGACTTGAGCCAAAAACAATGTATGATAATAGTGTCAAACGCGAACAGATCGGAAACGATTGCGCGCAGCTCACCACCAGCCCAGCACACGAAGCACAACCATTTCAATTGAAGGTTGCCCGGCATATGATCCTAGATTGTCCATGCTTTTTGTGTATAGCCTTTCCACGCCGTTTTATTGCCTTTCCACACCTCTTTATGGTCTTTCCACGGATTGTCCATGGTTTGTCCATAGTTTGTCCATGGTTTGTCCACGGTCATGTCATTTTCCAGAGCATGCATGTTTTTGAAGCTAGGGATCATGCGGACAGTCAATATCTTGAGCTAGCCGCTGAACAGTGTTCACTGAATTTGTGTTCAGACCTTTGCCAGAAGCTCAGAAAGTTCTGCATTCAAGGATGGCAGTGAGCTGCATGGTCAAAAACATGCATGCTGCTATAGTTAATGTGTCACATAGCCACATGTCTAATCCAATCATGAAAACAAATCAAACCGTCATTTGGAAAGCACATATCACGGGTTTTTCAAGTGACCTCACCTCACCAAGGAGCTACTGAAACTACATCCGCAGTGTTCCTGTGAGCTTAACTTCCAGGGGTCCACCATGTCCACTCGGACGAGGGCCTCACGATTTTGTTCATAGCCTTTGTGTCTCAATATAAAATATGCTCGAAGGCCAGGGCGTTGCAGGTAGGACAAGATTCCCCAGCCCTCCTTTTTTAAGGTCGAGGGACATTACGCTTGTAGCCTTTCGTTCTTGAATGGTCGAGGCCGTGAAAAAAGATTAGCCGAGGAAGCACTCGGGGTAGTCTGTGGGTTGTCTTCACTTTGGAAGGGGAACTTTCTGCTTGTCAACTCCACACATAAGGGATCCCGCGATTTTCGTAGATTTGATGTCGCAATCTGCCTTGCGAGGTGGGCACGTTCTGCATTGACTAGTGTGCCTATTTTGATGGTACCCTGGTTGGCTTGGTTTGCAGGGAAACTAGAGGATGTTTTCTTCCGATTGGGCATCCCATTTGGAAGGGGTGCTCTTAAGAAGAAAAACAGTAGGGGGTGAGGGAGTCTCTGTTTGGGCTCACTGGCTTTCACCAAGCGTTGAGACTGCGGGATAACAATACTTCCTATTCATTTCACGCGAAAACAACACGTCCTCGCTTTCCTGAAGCTG